GTGAATGCTGTTAAATAAGATCCTACCTGTGGCTTGAAATCCTAATTCAAATAACCTTGTGAATGAAGAAATAAAAGGGTAACTATAAACTACAGTCCGCCTCACTCAGTTCAACAAATACTCTACAGGGCCATGAGGCATAAACAGGACACTCAGAACTTCCCTTTTTTTTTTCCTTTTAAACAAATTCACATTTTCTTTATGTTGACATAAACTGTACAAAATTGACTTTCTTCACCGAAAATAACAGCGATGTTTTCTGTATTCTTCCTAAATAAACTACAAAACACATTCTTGTAGGTTGTCTAGGTTTTGCTTATAAATCAAGACAAGGCAGTAGATGTAACCACGGAAAAAGACTGAATGAAAACAGATCGATCTGTTGTCAGTATCCATGGCCTCTGATCCTGTCTTGACCATGAAACACAGGCGCTCCACATACTCTTGCTAAAAAGCTTATGACGATATAGGCTCAACAAAGGAATGTAAACAGCGACACCCAGATGTGGGTGTAACAATGGCGGGTTCTTTCTTCAATGTTTCTTTCTCTTTTTTTTAATATATTTTTATTGACTTCAGAGAGGAAGGGGAAGGGAGAGAGAGAAACATCAAACGATGAGAGAATCGTTGATCTGCTGCCACCTGGCATATGTCTTTGACTGGAATTGAACCTGGGAGTCCTCAGTCCACAGGCTGATGGTCTATCCACTGAACCCAACTAGCTACGGCAACACTCAGAACTTTCTACCACAGCGGGCGAGTCGCTTTAGTAAAAGGCAAAATGGGGGAAGTCTATGGAAGCATTAGACAGAAAAGTGTCTGATTAAGGAAACAGATAACAGAGCTCCCAGAGAAAGTGTTCACAGAACTGAGGCCTGAAAGGTTTCGGGGCCCTTCCAAAGAGGTTCCACGAGGCAGAGCTGGAAGCAGCTCCCACACGCCTGTGTGCTGCTGGCGCGGGAGGCGGGAATGGGAAAATGAAGTCTGGGGCCACATTTGGGGGCCCGGGGATATGTGCTGCACTGGCTCACTCTGCAGTCCGGGCCACGGGGAGTCACAAAGGTTTCCAGGAAGCCCGGTGACAGCCAGATCTGAGCCCAGGAAGACCGTGGTGGACCAAGCTGGCCACAGAGGGTGAAGTCACCAGGGCAACGGCAGCAAAACTGAATAGGAAAGTCTTAGCAGGTTTGGCTCGGGGGATAGAGCGTCGGGTTGTAGACTCAAAGGTCCTGGGTTCGATTTTGGTTAAGGGCACATGCCCAGGTTGTGGGCTTGATCCCCAGTAGGGGGCATGCAGGAGGCAGCCAGTCAATGATCCTCTCTCATCATTGATGTTTCTAGTTTTCTCTCCCTCAAACTTCTTCTCTGAAATCAATAAAAATATATTTTTTAAAAAATGAACAGGAGAGGAGATACAGGCAAAGAAATCTGATTTAAACTTTTTTTTTCATTTTTTTCCCTTCCAATGTTACTTCTTGCTCTCTCTCCAGACCTCTACCTGGGAGAGGTACAAGAATCTGATTTTTCACATGGATCAGAGTGACTTTTTCAACCCACAATTTTAACATGCGATTCCTACAGTGATGGGCCAAGTCAGCCTAGCAAAGCTTCCTCGAAAGTTCTACTTCGTCATTTACAAAACAAACTAAGAAGTGTAATCTGTGCCGCGGCACTCAGTATTTTTGCCTTCTCCAAACCAAAATAACTTAGTCTGAGATAAAATACTCGTGCCCAGGGCAGCCACAATATTGAGACACATTACGAGCCCAGAGAGATGGCCAGGGAGTCGGCTTTCTTATGGGGGGAGGAGGGAGTACAGCTGCATTTCCACTTCCAGTCCAGCCAACCTCGGAAACCAGCCGGCAGCCTCTCCAAACGCCGGGGCCAATTCTTCTTAAACAAGATGGGGCAGCAGGGACCGGCAGCACCGGGCTAGCCCTGCTGGGCCACCAAATACAGACCTGAATACACTTTCCATCTCCAAGTGATGCAACTAAGGGCTGGGCTCCAGAGGCTCTGAGCTTCCATCCACCTCTCAAGGTGACATTTTAAAAAAATACCTTTTTTATTGATTTTAGAGAGGGAGAAAGATAGGAACATCAATAATGAGAATCACTGACTGGCTGCCTCCTGCACACCCCTTACTGGGGATCGAGCCTGCAACCCGGGCATGTGCCCTGACCGGGAATCGTACTGTGACCTCCTGGTTCATAGGTCAATCAATGTTCAACCACTGAGCCACACCAGCTGGGCTCAAGGAGACATTTTTAAAAATTGATTTTAAAGAGAAAGGGAGAGGAAAAAACACACATACACTTCGATTTTTTTGTTCCACTCATTTATGCATTCATTGGTCGATTCTTGTATGTGCCCTAACCAGGGATCGAACCCACAACCTTGGCCTATCGGCACCATTCTCTAACCAACTGATCTACCCAGCCAGGGCTCAAGTTGTCATTTCTGATGATGCTCTTAGGCCCTCTGCCTTCTCCCACATTCCTTTAACAGGCGCATCTGTAACAAAATACCCAGGGGATGGAATATCAACCTTGCTTCCAGACCCCCAGCACTACAATGCTCAGCCCCAAGACTCCTAAAAATGGTCCAGTTTGTTGATGTTGACCAGATTAGTAAAGAAAAGAAAACTAAAAAAAGAAAAGAAAAGAAAACTGAGCCTTAGCCGGTTTGGCTCAGTGGATAGAGCATCAGCTTGCAGATCGAAGGGTCCCGGGTTCGATTCTGGTTAAGAGCACGTAGCTTGGTTGCAGGCTGTGCAACCAACCAATCGATGTGTGTTTCTCTCACATGGATGTTTCTCTCTCTGTGTCCTTCCCTCTCTCTTCCACTCTCTAAAAATCAATGGAAGATTTAACATCGGGTAACGATGTTTAAAAAAGAGGAAATTGGAATTCACTGAAGGGAAGGCAGTAAGGAGTGTAATCAAAGTATACCTACAACACGGGGGCGACAATATGGAATCGGAGTAGTAGAATGCTCCTTTGGACTTTAAAATAAAAAATTATGAAACCATCTTAAACAATGACCAAGTACTTATCAATGCCAAACATGTAAACAGGCTTTGAAAACAGAGCCTGTTTTCTTGGGAGTTTCTACAATTGTCCTCCTTGATTGGAATTCCGGACAGTGGGTAACCACCCCCCTACCCCACCCCTCCACCCCCAATAGCTCTCCGCTCCCTCCCACTTGACAGTTTGCGTACTTAGAGCATCAATGCGAACGGTGATGACTGAGAAACCCAGAAGGGAGTCATTTCATGCCCTAGGACCTGTTCCCACTCTATAGTGACTGAATTATTTAGACTAGAGGATGACCAAGGTCATTTTGCTTCTAAACGCTGCACCCCACTGCCTGCTTCAGCCTCCTCCCCCAAGTGGACTGGCCCTCGGTCAGCATCCAGGCCCAATTACAGGGTAGGCACCATGCTGGGCGAGCTGGGAAGAAAGGTCCCAGGAATAGGAATGCGCTATGGAAAAACTATTCTAAGAAACAGGTCGAGCCTCCGAGCCTCCTGAAGGAGCGGGAATCCGGTTTTGCTTGAATGACTAGTAAGAGCGCTTCACTAGCAAAGAGGGAACATGTTTCAGAAGTGCACCCAGCCGGGCAAATGCGGAACAAACTTCAGGGACCCCAAGCGGGCAGGTGCCTAGCCGTGGGAGCTGGGCACCAGACCAACCTCCTCAGAAGGAAGCCCGCGGGCCCCGTGCGCCAACGCTGCCCCGACCCGGAGGGAAAACGTGGAGCCAAAATGGAGGGGCCCGGGCGAGTGGCTCCGGGACGAAAGCCGAGTGGTGGCTTCTCATGGCGCCGGCCGCTCCCAGCTCGCTCCGCCGGGGGCCCCTCTGGCCGGCAGCCATTTACAGATTGCTTTGTAGTTCATGCTTATTGGTCCTAAGCAGGCACAGGTGGTTGCTCATCTTGGCCTGTACCTCCTGGGATGCCCCAGGGCCAGCACACCTGGTTGACATCTTCATACCACATCAAAGCTCTACCAAACCATCTCCATGAGTGACATACTCAAGGGTGGATTAGTGGGCAACAGAGCCTTGCTGAAGCAAGTCCTGAGGGTCCCAGCGCTCGCCGCAGGCAGCAGGGAGCGGGGCGCCAGGGAACTTTCTCGTGGAAGCCGGCCACGTCTCCTCTCGGCCACGAAGAAGGGGAGCCCGACTGCTCCCACCTCACTGGTGTCACCGCATCTCTGTGGCTCAAGGTTTTAGCCGAAAAGCCCTGCAATCTCAGCCCAAGCGGGGCTCCCTCCCCGGGACGCGCCCCGCGCGCTCTCGCAGCCTCGGGGT